ATTACTTTCTGGAAATAAAAAGCAGCCAGCTCTGTGCAATGTGTATGCCTGGGGAACTTCCACACAATCCAATTTTCCTTATAAATCTTCCTGACAGTATATGGATATCACCTCACTTCACTCACACAGCTCTGTTTGTCCACACACAGGTCTTCTTGTTTCTTCAATGTGTGCATAAATCAGTATTTTAGAATGCAAAAAAAAAAAAAATTATGGTGAATGCAAGAGTTTTTTTCTTGATGCGTTGCCTGCACAGACACTCAATAGGAGGCACTTGCTCTTTGGGATTCCTTCCCTCTGAGGAAGTATTTTTGTGCAATAAAGGAAAAATTGTATTGCTTAGTTCACAGGAGCTTAACATGGTCAAAATATTCTTTGCATATAAAAGCCTTTTGAAGGCTTTCTTGGAATTGACTCAGTCATTCTTGTGTGTATCTAACAAATAGGAACTGCCTTTAAAAGGTTCACTCAGTCTGTTTTAAGGTTTACAGAGCAATCACACCCTTTTACAGCTCTTTCCCCACGCTTTTTTCCCTATCTTTGTCTTTTTCTTCTTTGTCTTTTTTTCCTTCTGACCATGCCGTAGAATAACTTTTTACAATGGTGATCACAGCTCAGCATGATGGCGCCCTATATTTGAGTAGGATTTTTCTAAGCATTAAAATAGGGCAAATGACAATTGGACTGCCTGTGTGAGACTGGCTAAGGAATTGTGTTATGTGGAAATTATGACTAAAGCACTTGAGTGGACTATATTCAGTTACCTTAGGGTGTGTCCTCTCTTTCTGTCATTACAATAAAAATCAAAAGTAGTCTTGGAAGCCTTAACGTTCTGAACTTTAGGACTGAAGAACGAAAAAAAAAAAACCTGTAAAGATTAGCCTCCAGGAGATTGTTCAAAGATTGAAAAACAGACAGAGTTATTTACACTGTAAATATTAGATTATTAGCTGTAATATATTCATTGATTTTACAGTCTAATGTGACTATGTCTAGTGCACTAATAAATGTGTTTGAGTAGAGTCAATATCCAACGATGAAAGTGTGTTTCCCATGGCACAGCTTTGCTGGGGGACAGTGTAATTACCCTAACTCTCAACTCAGAAAGTCATGCAGCCAGGTGGTTGCCCTTGGTCTATCCCGTTTTACCCGCCTTTACACTTCACTTAAAGAATATGTGAACTTGTTAATTGCACTTGTAAAATAGGTTTTGAGAATATTTTTAGACATAAATGATAATAAAATAGTGAAAAACTATATATGTATAATTAACAGAATGGATACAGTGTCACCAAACATCACACTGTGCTTGTGTGACTATGTCTCGTCAGTACGTTTAGTCTAATCTTTCTAACTGCGTTTTGCAAAACAATGTAGTAATTGCATCATCTAGCCACTAGACATAAATAAATTTACCATGCATTGTGGAAATGAAATGACCTTTAAAATCTGTTAACCAGGCCTAGAGTAAGTTTTCAGAAGCACTGCAGAGGAAAACCTTGCTCTTTAGTAAATAAAATGTTGTTACTCTAAATTCAACATACAATCCGGGACATGGGAAAATTTGAGGGTTTTGATAATTCTGTCTCAGTGTGGAACATGCAATGCTTGTTTATGGTTCAGATGTTATCCTCTTGATAAGAGAATTAAAGTGCTTTTTGTACTGCTGCCAAGATACAATTTAAGAAAAACAGCTAATTCATCATTTCAGGTTGTAGTTTCTCCTTCCTGTACTTCATCCATTCAGACATGTAACAGATTTGTGGAAATTGTCAAAAAGTCCTTCTCACGTAGCTTCATGCATCTTTTGGAATTATCTTTAAGGGATCATAAGCTCTAAAAGAAGTTTAGCATTTCAGCTATCCCATTTTAGCTGTTCAGCTGGCTGTGACACAAATGACTCTTCAGAACACAGCTGATAAATTTATTTATTCAGACTTTTCCAAAACAGATACTGCTGCAGAGTATAGGATAAAATTTATTCTCTAAGAGAAAATCAGCACAAGGTCACACAAATCTCTTGTAAGCCTGAACATCTGGCCAAATGCCATAAAATTGGAGTATATCTGAATGGTTTTTGACAATTATGTGTGTGACAATCCACATTTGTACCATGTAAATAATTAAAACCTTTGGCCCAAGTTAGGAACAGCAAGACCTAATTCTGTATAAACCCTTAGTAAATATTCATCCAGGCCATCGCCTATACTTTGAAGAAAGAAACCTGAAAGGAGCAAATAATGGATGTTGTTTACCTGAAAATAATAATAATAACGAATTTAAACAAGCGCACAGAAAATGGCTTATCTCACTGGGAAACTGGACAGGGGAGTTGTCATCAAAACATTGCTTGCTCTCCTGTGTGTGCTTCCTATTTGTACTCTGATTTTTGCAAACAGTCGTAATATTTTGTGCCTTGTGCAAATAACTGCTATTTTTAATGAAAAACAAATTGTAAGAAAATATTTAAACAATACAAAAGGTGTGAGTTGAAAAGTCTGACGTGTATGCACATGCACGAATACAAATATAATGCATTAGAAAAAAAATAGCCAACCAGGCAGTGCTACCATGGTGACCTTTCAGTTTGTAGAAATTCAAGCCCTATGGTTTATTCTGTGCTTTAGTGCTTTTGGAACCACCTTCTCTAAAAATTGTAACCTTTGTTAGCAGAGGAAAACAGGTCAAGAATGAGGACACCTTTTCTGCCAGGTCCCATGGCAAACGTGTACATACTGACACACCCCATTGACTGAAGCTGATGATCTCCCCCTCCGCCTTTTTCGGGCACTTTTTTTTCCTTCTCTTGTATAACTAACACCGATGTTCATGATTCAAAGTCATGAGCATGTGTGAAGTAGACGTTTTATTTTGTTAGGTTTTCCTTTATAGGAAGGAGTTGATTTTCCTTTAATGGTCATGTTTAATATTCATCATATATATTTCATAAAAGGACAAAGAGAAATCCCTGGCTCTTGACACACCGACTACAATTTTGTGTATGTGTAGGCAAACATCAGGTGATTTTCATAGCTAACAAGAGCCAGCTGTTTGTTCTCTTCTTGATTCTTCTTCTGAAGCAACCCTTAAAGTTTCAACATGCACTTTAATATAAAAACTTCCGATTTTTTTAAAAATGTTTACCAACTTATTGCAAATCAGTTGCAACTGCATCATGAGGCTGAAGTCACAGGAAAAAATAGTTTTCATGAACTGTTTGAGTACAGCCTACAGCCTGAGATGTTGCCATGATTTTCTTGGAAATGCAATTCTTTGTTGGATAACGTAAGACAGAAAATTGTGTGGGTTTTGTTTCAGAAAGGTTACGGTGTATTTCCATGTACTTGTGATGTGTAGTCTTGCTTTGAGATGTTGTAGATGTTGCAGGACAGATTTTGCCCAGGGAACAGGTGGCTACAAATGTTTGGGAGAAGGGAGCTTACATTTTTTTTTCCCAGTTAAAAACCATTTTTTGCTAACTTGTCAATGGCATAACGTGAGTGGAAACTTACCGTCAAGCACACAGAGGTTGTCCAAAGACATCCAAACTCAGTTTTAATCATGGGAATCGACTGTCAGGGACTTCTACAGAGAACACTGCAGCCTGGGGTTCATCAGCATTATTCATCATGTTGCCCTAGTTTTGATAGATTTCCCCAAACAATTTCTTCAGAGTATGTTCACTCTGCGGACTCTAGTGTAGGTGTGACTCACCTTAAATGAGCTCCTCCGAGTCTAACACGAGCCCTTGGAGACCCGTTCCCCAGCTGCTTGGTCAGGCATGTTAACGTGTTCAGCACTCAGTGTAGCTGTGGCTGATGAGCTTCCATCACCTGAGCTGAACTGTCCAGGCACTGCTCAGCTCCCAGCACAGCCCCTCGGACAGCTCTTTTGGGTGTAGGTGTGGGTCCAGTGTGTTTGGTGTTTTAATGAGAGGGGGACCACAGTTTTCAGGCAAATCATGAGGACAAGCACAGGAGTTCAAAGTGACCTTTTGTTTTTGGTACAGTACGTTTTATTGCAAGGCTTGATTCTACATAGTGTCGATAACAAGTTATTTCACTGCAGATCAAGATGGATTTTGATACTGGATCTTTGCCAAAGTATCAAATTTATTCCTTCACATATCCTGACCATCTGAGCAAGTGCTCTGTGGAGTGGCTCGGTGAGGCTCCCTTTACTGGCCCTAGAGAGATGCTGGTTCATCAGATCTGTTTCAGACATCCACTATGGCCTGAGTACAAGCCCAGAGGGGCTAACATAGCTGCTTCTGCAGACCTCTGCTTTTGATCCAGTGAATGTTTAAAAAAAAAGTAGATCTAGCACTTGAGGCTATGGTGTAGTGGTTAGGTATGCTGGGATGAAGGTTGGACTAGATGATCTTCAGAGGTCCCTTCCAACCCCTAACATTCTGTAATTCTGTGAATCCCACCCGCAGTGTGTGCTACTGAGCCGGCTGGTCTGCAGCAAGGTCCTCTGCACAGCAGAGAGCGCAGTCCGTGTCTGCTCTTGGCTCAGCACCAGCAGCACCTCGCAGAGCCCCTAACTATGGCAGTGAAGGAGGAGTGAGGTGCTCCTCTTCCTCCTGAGCAGGTAAGCATATACTCTGCCGAAGTGGACCTGTCAACCCTCTGGTCAGGTGGGGATATCTGAAGGAGCAGATCTGATTCTTGAGCAAACAGCCAGTAAGAAAATCTGATTTTCGTTTTTTAGTCACAGTGTGTATCTTGAAGGAGAGGCTGGTTTCTGCTGGTGAGCAACTGGTTGTACCAGCCATACCAGGGTGTTAAAGGTTGTTTTGAAAAGGTGTCAGCAGAGGTGTGTGCTCCAAGCGGCGCTCAGATACGGATGTTTGCTAAGGGATAACTGTCTCTCTTGTGTGCGACCATTGATTGGAGGGCACAGCTGCATAAAGAACCCCGGAGTAAGACCAGTCTCCGTCTTCTGAGAGAGCCCTGAGCCTGCTCCTGTTGAGAAGAAAGCCAGACTCCAGCAGCAACATGTCTCAGCTGGAAACTGCGATGGGAATGACCATTGCTGTCTTTGACAAGTACGCAAAGGCTGACGGCAACAGGCAAACCCTCAGCAAAGCAGAACTAAAGACCCTCATGGAAAAAGAGCTCCCAAACTTCCTCTCGGTAAGAGAACAGCACAGCATTGTTTCGTGTAGCAGGTGCAAGGGCTGCCTGCAGGCACAACTTTTAGTACATTACAGGGGAAATAGCATCTGGAAATGTGCAATGGCCTGTAGAAAGAAAAAAAACCCACCTCTTTGCACATACTGTGTAAAACTGGTGCTAATATTCAGGGCCACTCCCTGAATTTATCACTGGAGTTAGGACAGTAGCTTTGAAATAGGTTGGGTTTCATCTTCAGAATCCACCTCCTACTTCTGTTTGTCCCTGGATTTACCAGCTCACATCATGTCACAACTGCTCTGAAGGTAGTTATGTTGTCGGCAATTTAAGAGCTTCATTGCGTATGGGGATCCTCTAGATATTTATACACTTCCTGTGTCTGCGCATTTATACTACATACTCAGTAGGCTCATTGAAATGACGCATAAACAATAACAACAGATGAACTCAGAACAAACTGTTTTGCAAGAAAGACCCAAAGAAGTATTTTACAATATAGATTTATATGTAATCATCAGGTGCATTTAAGTAGGTTTTATCATAGAATCATAGAATTATATTTATATATATAATTTCTCTTAGTAGGCATTTGAAATGCTTAATACATTACAGTGAAAGCTTTAGCTGCCTCGCGGACAAAATGCTTTTCATTTTCAATTGTTTCTTTTATTTGCTTCCCTTCACTAAAAATCCAGAAAGCACTTTAAAATGTCTTGTTCTTTTGACACAGGAATAACATTACTCTAGCTGTACAGTTATTATTCCTAATTGTGACAGCCTAGACCCAAAGATTTCTAATGTGGCTACCACTTTTCATACCCAGCTTGTATTTCAGGGCACTGCAGCCGGAATGCTGGATATGGTTTAGTACCTTTCCATGCAAGCTATACAAAACCACTATATGAAATCCATGTCTGCTGGATTTATGACTCACAAATGAAACACGTATTCAGAATAAGGACCTGGAGGGCTCTGGGGGAGTGGATGAAAACGTCTCTGAAAAAGCTTTGTAAAGCAGATCAGTGGGTATAACACAAAAGCGCCACAGGCAGCGTCCTATTCCTGATCACGGACCTGGATGTTACCTATCGCACTTTCACATAAAGAAAAACAAAACTAACAAAAAACCCACAACTCTAAGGGGGCATGGAAATCCCCCAGAAACTTGGCATTTGGTCTAAAGAAAGCTGGGGACCCACTGCCCTAGACAGCTACCAAATGGGGTGATGCTCAAAGGGCGTTCCTGACTACATCTACTTGTGAGGCACCACCTCTTCCAGTTCCCCATGGCTGCTCTTATTGGCTCTACTTATTTCCAGGGACTGATGGAACAAATGGAATTTTCCAGGAATATAATTGGTTGAATATCCTCTTACGTTCTAGTCTCCATCTCCCTTTCCCCTTTTACTTTCTCCAGAAAAAATAAAAAGGGCACAAAATAACATTTTGTGTCAGTACTTAAAATAAATTTAAACCTTCAATGTCCTATCTTGCAGATTAAACACTGCAAAAAAAAACAAACTGAGAAGGTAAGTCTGACTCTAGGGGGAAAAAAAAAGTTTTACCTGCATTTTCCTGACAATTATATCTGTATTTTTTTTATTTGCAACAGTGTTCTGGGAAACAGAGTCTTTAAATACTGATGTGTATTTCTGGCCTTAAAATTGGTTATAGCTGACACAGCTCACTGTTATCTGGAAAGGTCTTGAACCAATTAGAGGCAAAAATAAATCCATATCACAGGACTGAAGGACTGGACTCAGTTATAAGGAGTTTCCAAAAACCGTGTGCATTTCAGAAATAATTCAGAAGCTAAAACCAGTTCATATATTTCACTAAATAATTTTAAATATTCACTCATAAAATTAAAACTGATTGTAATTTGCAAAGTGAAAAGGAATAAAACCTTCCAGACACGTTCGTCAGTCAAATCTAGGGAACTGGTTCAATTTTTAGTGATTCTAAATGTGCACATATTTTAAGTGAAACTTGAAATTACAGAATAAGAAATTTAGTTAATTAGACCATGATCAAGAATTTTCTTTAGCTTTCAATTAAGGTAGTAATCATTTTAAATTCCTGGAAATTTTCTAAAAGTTTATATCATGTTTATTATTATAATATCAGATTTATTATTTGTCTTCAACAAAAGTCACACCGTTGTTTCCTGTATTAGATAAGTCTCTGCTGCCTCCCCCTGTTTATTTTTAAAACTGCGGTTTGTTAAATCACGAGATCGTGCGGGTACTCAAGCCAAAAACTCCGTCTGTAAGCTACTTTAGAAAAAAAATAAAAACAAAACAAAAACAAAAACTAAACAAATCTCTTTTTTAATACTTTGGCAGCACTATTTTTTTAAAAAAATCTCTTTTTACTTGCATAGTGTCTTGCTTAACATGAGCCTCAAGACACACTGCTTCAGTCACTCAGATTTATGACAACTTAGAAAAAAAAATGTTTTTTTTCTAATATTTTTCTCTGCTGTAACTCAAGCTGAGCACCACATTTGCTTCAGGAGGTGCCCCCCAGCTGCCAGCTCCTGCACTGAAGCTGGAGGCAGCGCTCAAAGCACTTTTGAGGCTGTTTGTATCTTTGCTAGGCTGGTGGTATTTAATGAAGCTTAAATTTGACATTTGCCCCAGGAAGGCATCGTTTTTCAAGACTGCAAACTGCCCGAGCTCCACACGAGTCTTTCCAAGGGAGCGGGTGGGGGATGCGCAGCGTTTAATTCTGCTGGGTAACGTCCTCAGGGCTTTGTACTACACAGCTTGGATCATCTTAAACGTAGAAAACATTGCCTCTCCATGCCAGTGCACGACCGCAGCTCTCAGGTGTAGTGACCCCACAAGCACGTGCTTTCGGGCTGGATGCGATATGCTTTTTTTTCTTTCGGGTGGGATGATGTGGGTCTGCACCCATGCCATGAGGCTCAGTCCTGCCGTCACCCAGAGCCCCCAGGCTGGGCCTGAGGCCAGCGGCAGCACCAGCTCCCGCAGTTAGGCTGTGTTTTTCAGGTGGATGGAGGTGGAGGAGATGTACGGCTCCCACCAAGACGAGTCAGTGGACTTATAGCAGTCCCACAGAGTCCCATGTCTTGTGATGGGTGCTGAGCAGCTATCTTGGCCAAACACGGTGCAAAGGAACTCCTACCTTTATACTCTGAGGTATAACGCACAAAGCAAGAAAATGGGGGGGAGGGGGAAAGGTGTTACTAGCAGAAAACACGATAACCTGGTATTCTGGGCAGGCCTATGGCAAGGCTGTAGGCTGGAGTCATTACATTTCCATCACACCCCCATTGTGGACCCGTTAGCTCAGTCAGTTGAGCAAGGCGCTGACAACGCCAACACCAAGGTCATGGGTTCGATTCCCGTTTGGTGTTGCCTGATCTAGTCAACTAGGTGGCATCCCTGGTGACAGGGAGGCTGGATTAAAATTATCTCTAATTCTAATTTCAGCCTAGGTCATTCTATGATCATGCCCCAGTCTCCCAGGCAACATAACCACATTTTCCCATGGAAAGGTAAAATGTGCCCAAGCTGGTACTGGCCTCGTGCTCCCCAGTTGCCCCCCCGCCAACGTTGGTGAGGGCCCAGAGCCCAATCAGGACCCTTGTTCAGGGTGCAGGCCATGGTGCTGCTCCATTAGGGTTTGTGCCACCTCATACTTCAAGCTACTCTTTTTCTTTTGCAGTCAGGGAAGGACAAGGATGCTATTGATAAACTCTTCAAGAACCTGGATGAAAATGGTGATTCCCAAGTGGACTTCAAAGAATTTGTCATCTTTGTGGCAACTCTGACTTGCCTCTGTCATCAATATTTTGAGCATAAAGCAGCCAAATAACCATCGAACTGCTCACAGAAGCCATCTTTGCCTGTGCTCCATATAGTAGTAGTACGGATCCCTTTTTCCATGTACCACCATGCAATTTATAAGCGTGCTGGGCTGTAAAAATAAATCTTATTGTACTTACTTCCCTGACTTGAATGTTAATTTCTGCTCCTTTGTGGAAAAGCCTGGGTTTAACAGCTCCCACTAACTCATATTGAATAGTTTCTCTCTTTCTCTGTTTTTTTAAAATTCTATTCTTAGCCAAAAGGCTCAATATCCACTCTAGTGCAGAGGCTGCACAAGGGTAAGTGCTGCTGGAGCCGTGAATTAGCTGGAGGCTGCTGTTATATAGCTGAATCTCTGGGCTGCAGCGTGCTGAGCTTCAGCTGATAGAGGCTGCAACTTAAATCCATGCGTGTGCCCCCACGGCTGCATGGGGCTGGTCTCACTGGGGCTGCCTCGGAGGCTGTTTGGTACCCTCACCTGTGCAGTCACTACAGGGCTAAGAAGTAGGCTCTTTCTTGGTTAAAAACAAACAAAAAAAAACCAGACCCAAACTTTTTTGCAGCATTGAGGATTCTCTGCAGTTTTATGTGCTGATAAACCATCTCACCCAGTTCATACGGGTTTCTTTCCAATAACATGATAAGGCTTTTGTACCGACAGAATGATATTACTCTACTGTTGGCAATGTAGGTAGGGCTGTACTCCATAACAATTTTATTTTAATTTAATTTAAATTCAGATATCTCCCCCAAATACCATGCCACAATATTTTTGCCCAAAACAAAACTAAAAGCTGCAATTATTGCTTCTTTACCTGAAAAACGTCCGTGTGGAGAACTGGAAGAGTTTACTTTTCGTGTAGCAGGCAAGACATGAGCTGTGACTCTGCACCTGGAGCAAGACTGAACCAATCTGTATTTTGAAGCACTTTCCAGGTGAGCATCCCAATGCAAACTGCCAAAACCATCAGTTTTAGTTCCTTCAGCTTCAGAACAGGTCTGTTTGGTGCTACTGCTGTCCTATGCCAAGAGCCAGCTCATTTCCTGTAACGTGCTGTGCAGGCAGAGGTGCCACATGTCCCCATGCAGCTGCACAGTTGCTCTGCCCAGGGCTTCACCTCCAGCCAGGGGCCCCGGGGGATCACGCAGCACAGAAAATACAGGAACAAGAGGTCTGTAGATGCTGAGTGCTGCGTTAACTGCAAAAACGTTTTCCTCTTCCTGCCAAAGCCTGGTACAAGGAGCTAACTGACAACAGTTGTGTACCTGGAGCTGGAACAAGAATTTAGTTTCACTGTGTTTCCCGAGTCTGAAGTTCAGCCACAGGTTTGACTCATTCATCACCATGTATAAGCAAACACGTGTTTAAGTGTATTCATCTTTTGGGGAACTTGCTGGGAAAAGTTTGGGCTTATTAGATGATTTCATCCATTCAGATACATTCGCCATTACAGGTGTCCTTCCATCTGGCTGCCTTTCGTTTCTCAGTTTGGCTGTACTGACTGAACACCACTTAAAACTTTGTTCCTAATACCGAGGGCGCAGTGTACAACACACTGCGATGGATGTGAATGCCAGCTGCTTTGGGAAAGGCTCTGCTTATCTCTGCCCCAGCACTGCTGGGTCAGATCAAGAAATCAAAATCCAGTGACTAGTCTTCCCTCAGACCTGTCCAATCCCAGTAAGAACTCAGAGTCTCCTATCCCCCTCATGCTATGCATGGCTGGGCTACACACCAGCACCCAACCTGGCGCAGATGCCAGGGGGACCCATGTTTTGGATCCCCCCACCCAAAAAGCATTAGATCCACAGCTGCTATGCGTGGCAGCAGGCAGTGGTGCAGCTGCAAAGTGCATTGCAATGGGTGCTGTTAGCCTGTGGTCACAGGCAAATCAGATGGAGATCATGCTTAATACACGGCCATAAATGAGAGAATGATGCCTTCCTTCATGTCTTCTTCCTGACAACTTGCTGAGAGCAGATTCCCAACTTACCAGGGACATACAAACAAAAACTTAATGATCTGTTATTCCTCGTTCTCCAATAGACTTCATAAATGAGTCTCTGTGTGTGTGCAAGAGATCGCTTGAGAAAAAGCAAGCATGTATCAATGTGTCTGCTTACCTGTGCGAGTATGTCTGTCCCCTGCCGAAAGGGACAGCAGGGGTTTGTCCCCACCCCAGCCCTGCTACAGACCGAGTTCTTGCAGCTGAAGGTTGTGAGCAGAGCTCTGCCTTCTAGCCACCAGCTCCTCGCGGCACACAGTCATGCCAAAAAACACTCAGAGGGTTGCTGAGCTCCTGGATGGCTGGAGATGAATCACATCACACATGTAACACCTGCAGAAGTAACACTACCAACAGTAATGCTTCTCTGCATTGTCCGAGCAAGAAAGCTACTAATTATGAAAACGTGCAAAATTCTTCCCAGTCCGGGGATCCCAAATCAGCCTCTTCTTTTTCAGAGATCATGGCGTATTATTTCAGCTGTTGGAGATATCTTCGCAGCTCTAATCCTGTGTGTCCCTGCCCAATGGCTGCTGCACAGCTCATCACTTGCAGGAGCTGGCAGGTGCCAGTATCACATCCCTCTCTGTTTTGTCAAGGTCATAGAGGAGCAAAATGCTCTCCTTCTTGCAAAGGAAGCTGATTATAAGTCATAGAGGTAAATTTCATATATTGCATATCTAGCTAACTAGTGGTATAAACCATCTTTAGGTGAGGAAATTTGTCACCAATTTATCGGCGCATCCTAATTTTGGGGAAATGTAATTTTCCTTCTCCAAGTCCAGCATTAGCATCTAAAAGGTTTTCTAAGCGCTGCTTCCTGATGTCGATCCTCACTGAAATTACTTTCTTAACCACTGTGTGGCACTAAATGCAGCCTTTTTATTACTCACTGAGTCCCAAACGCCGCGTATCGTTACCGAGACAGAATGCAAAGAATTTGCACGAAGATTTAAAAAAACCCAAACAAACAAACCCAGAAGTGCTCTGAACTTGCTCATGCCAAGTTTATTTCTAAACAAATACTGCATGTCCTATTGAGAGCATTTCACTGACTGCAGTGGAAGCAGAAGGAGCCAAGAGCCAGGCAGAGGCTCCATCTCTTGGGCTTTCGGTCGGGTTTGGCGGTACCCTCCCAGTCTCACTCTTGCGAAAGAGTTTCCCCTGGCTGCAGATAAATCCCTTGTGCAATTTACTGCAGTATCGTTCTTCACCCCACTGAGATCACTTTTAAAATACACCTCTTACAGAGAATGTTGGTGAAAAGGTCCTCTCATGAGCCAAGAGATTCAATTCATTGTTCCATTTTATCTATAGGATATTTTAAAAAGACGTTTTTCAGCAGTGAGAGCTGCGCGATGTACCCCACCTTTCTCTCTTATTGTCTAAACTTCTTGCCTGCGGTGTCCAACACCGACACAATTTCACTCACTCTCTAATGTCATTTTGCCCGTTTTCCTGATATTGTGCAGTTTTATTTCTGTGCTTGTAGGGCACTTGAAGACTTGGTTTACTCTGCTTATCTGCAGTTCTCCTCACAGCAGCTTCATAAAGAAAGCTCCTCAAAGCTGCCTCGCAACCACTGCACCTCGCAAAACGGGTACCACCACCCATGACGCGCTTAAGCACCCTCACATCAGTGCTGGAATAACTGAGTTACCCCTCTTGCCACCAGATCAAGTGTGCTAGGAAATAAGTTTTTTCTCATTTCCCTCATTGTTCCTGTAAACTCTTACACTTGTGCTGAACTCCCCTTAAGCCCCCTGGTCCAATAAGTGCCAGTGGGGCACGTGGAGAGCTCAAGGACCCTCCCCAGAAGCTGCTTCACTAAAAGGAGGGAGCTGTGCACATTGTGAGCTGCAGAAAGAGGGGAATTAAGGGTTTGAGGATAGTTTTTTTCTTTCTCCCTGCAGATCTTTCAAAAGCTGTAACTCGGTAATGAATATTCATTTCAATGTAGTACTGAAAATTCAACTGATGACACCTCAGAGCGAAAATGATCCGGGAATAAAAGAAATTAACATATAGCTCCCACCTTACCATAGAACAAAAGTAACTTTTCAGAATATTTTATTTAACCTAAAAGCATTTGAGCAGAGAGTCTTTAATGTCTTTCAATCCACTAATTTTCTTCCCCAGTATTATTAATTTTCACTATGAACCTAGGGTTTACCCAGAACACACTGTGTATTTCCTTCTTCGGGTAAATTTTGTCATTCAAGGTTCAAGCTGCAGAGATGCTAGACCTAGTTTTATACTTACCATTTAATCTCAGCTCTTAGGCCTAAGTGTATTGTGTAGGGTGAGATAGTTTAAGAAACAGTATACGTAGCTGTAAGAGAAAAGACAAGGCAACACAAAGAGCAGCCCAGCCAACAGGAGCAAACAGTTGTGGGCAGAGCATGTTTGAGTTAGCTACGTTAACAGAAAATAATAGATACATGAAAAGATGTTACCAGCAAATGATGGTATGGGAAGACATCATCTGTGATGAGTTTCGTATTAGGCAAGGCTTAAATGAAGAGGTCGGAAAGTCCGCTAAGCAGCAAACCAGCCAATAGGTATTTTTGCTATGTTATGGAGGAAAAATATAAATTCGTATTAACAGTAGATACCTTCTACAGGTTAGGATTCTCCAGTATCTATAGTTGCCATTTCCAAATTTGGTGGGGTACTGTCAAGGCTCTTCAGTCACTTGTGGTCACTTACGTTGTGGTTCTACATGGGAGAGTTCCTCATTATTTTACCTGCAAGTTCACTGGGGCTCATGGGGAAAAATAATTCACTGAGTCAAGCGGTAAACCCAGTTTGGGGCTGGAAACTGAACATTTCTTTCCCCAAGTCCTCCGAGCATCCCACGCTAGCAATGTGGACCTTCAACACTTAACCTACAGTGCCAAGATATCTTTATAAAAAGCATTTTAACTGCTGGTTTTCTTATAAAAGGTGAGTAGAGAAGGAGATGTTACCTGTCTTATGCAACAGTCTCCCTGTAAAACAC